GCTGCCAGGCCGTGGACGCCGCCGCCTTGGCTCGCCTGGACCTGGAACGGCGGGTGGGGACCCTGCAGGACGAGATAGCCTTCCTCCGCAAGGTCCACGAGGAGGTAATCCCGCTCGGGGGGGTCCTGGGGCTCGGGGGGGGGCCAGGCTGACCCCCGCTGCCCCCCCAGGAGCTGCGGGAGCTGCAGGAGCAGCTGGCCCGGCAGCGGGTCCACGTCGAGGTGGACGCAAGCAAGCCGGACCTGACGGCCGCCCTGCGCGACATCCGCAGCCAGTACGAGGCCATGGCCGCCAGCAACGTCCAGGAGACCGAGGAGTGGTACAAGTCCAAGGTGCGGTGGGAGCCAGCCACCCAACGGTTGAGTGGCCTGGCTGTCCCCTCCCGGGGATGTCACCTTCTCAGGGCTGGGGTTGGCCCCCCTGGGGTTGGGTGGCTCTGCTTGGTGGTGGTGCCTGGGGTTTGGCATCCCCGCTGTCCTCGCTCGTGTCCCATGTCCTGGTTTGGTCCCCGTGGGGAGCAGGGATGTGTCCCCAGTGGTGAGTCACGTAGGCACTCACCCTAAGGAGTTGTGTTCACAGTCACATGGCCCACACGCGCTGTCCCACAGGAGCAGGGACGTGTCCCCTGTGACATCCCACAGCACCATCCCTCCCACCCGCAAAGCAAGGACATGTCCCCAGCAACACCTTCCATCAGGGATGTGTCCCATGTCCGCTGTCCCACCACCCCAAGAGAGCAAGGACATGCCTCCACGACACGTGCCATCGGCCACATGCCCCATGTGCACTGTCCCTTCCACCCATGGGAGCCAGGACACGTCCCCAGCACCACCTGCCGTTGGGGACACATCCCATGTGCGCTGTCCCTTCCTCCTGTGGGAGCTAGATGTGTCCCCATGACACGTGGTGCTGGGACCACAGCCCTTCCACGGTAGCTGGGGTGTGGCCCCAGGACATGTGCCTTTGGGGATGTCCCCTGTGTCCCTTCCTGCTGTGGGAACAGGGACGTGTCCCCAGTGCCACATCAAGTGCATGTCCTATGTGCATCGTCCCCCTCCTGCCACCGGAGCAGGGACGTGGGGACACATCCCATGTGCACCGTCCCACCACCCTGCAGTAGCAGGGTCGTTTCTCCATGCCACGTGCTACTGGGGCCACGTCCCTCCCGTGAGGCAGAGCTGGGCCGTGTCCCCACGCCATGTGCCACCAGGACACTTCCCTGCCATGTGGTCCCGTCCCACGGCATGTGTGTGTGTCCCCCCAGTTTGCAGACCTGACGGACGCGGCCGCCCGGCATGCAGAGGCCCTGCGCGTGGCCAAGCAGGAGGCCAACGAGTACCGGCGCCAGCTCCAGGCCCTCACCTGTGACCTGGAGGCTCTGCGGGGTTCGGTAGGTGATGGCCATGGGTGCAAGGGGGAGGGCACAGCCTTGGCAACCTGCCACCACCATGGAGTTCCCTGGCATGGCAGTGGGGACCACCACCCAAAGCTGGGGGAATGGCTGGTCCCCAAGGATGGGAGATGGATGGGCACCGCGGAGAGCCCCTAGCTCCTGGAAGAAGGTGGCTGTGGAGGGTGTCACCTCCCCTCGTGGCCCCCCAGAACGAGTCCCTGGAGAGGCAGCTGCGGGAGCTGGAGGAACGCTACGCCCTGGAGACGGCCGGCTATCAGGACACGGTGGTGCGGCTGGAGGAGGACATCCGCAGCCTCAAAGAGGAGATGGCCCGGCACCTGCAGGAGTACCAGGATCTGCTCAACGTCAAGCTGGCCCTCGACATCGAGATTGCCACATACCGCAAGCTGCTGGAGGGCGAGGAGAGCAGGTGATGGCAGAGTGGGGGCTCCATCCTGCCCCTCTCCCCCTCCCCGGCTGTGTCCCAAACCATCCCCAAGTCCTCGTGGTTCCTCTGGGGTGTCCGACCTGCTTGGGGACCATCCTCCAGCCCTCCTGTCCCAGCCCTGGGCAGGGCTGAGCTGGTGTGCAGGGGGGCGGCAGGACCCCAATGCTCTTCCCAACACCCCTCCATCGCTCCTGCAGGATCACCATCCCCGTGCAGAGCTTCTCCAACCTGCAGATCCGAGGTGAGGCCGTGGCCACGTGTGGGGTTGGGGGGCTGGGATGGCACAAGCAGGGGTGGCTTCTGAGGGCTCAATGGGAGGAGACGCCATCTCAGCCGTCCCTGCCCCATCCAGAGGTACTGGGAGGTTTTCCTCCAAATCTCAATGAACCAGGACTCCTGGGTTCTCCCAGGATGGGGGGAGGAGTGTGGCATGGCTACATCCCCAAAGCCAAGCATGTCCCCAAGGCCAGTGATGTCCCTAAGACGACCAACTACATCACCATGTCCCCATGGCCAACCAGATCCCCAAGGCCAAGGCCAGTGACATCCCCAAGGCCAATTGCGTCCCCAGTGCCAACTATGTCCCCAAGGACAACCCTGTCCCCCAGTCACATCCCAAAGCCACCCATGTCCCCATGGCCAACCACATCCCCAAGGCCAATCATGTCCACAGTGCCAACTGTGTCCCCAAGGCTAATCACTTCCCAAAGCCAGCCACATCCCCAGTGCCAATCACGTACCCGAGGCCAACTGCATCCCCAAGGCCAACCATGTCACTAGGCCAACAGTGTCCCTGAGGCCAGCAGTGTCCCTAAGGCTGGCCATGTCCCCAGGGCCACTGTCTCCCATGGTTCAGGGTTTTCCAGCCCCACCTGTTCCCTTTGGGCCCCTCCACTTGAGTGTGGCTGGAGGAACCATGCCCCGGGCACGGGGTCACCGCCATGTCCTGCCCATGTCCCCTAGAGACCAGCCTGGACACTAAATCCGTGTCAGAAGCCCATCTGAAGAGGAGCATCGTAGTCAAAACGGTGGAGACCAGAGATGGAGAGGTGGGAAGTCCTCATCTGTGTCACCCATGCTGCCTCCCCTCCACCCCTGCCTCCCCATGGAGTGTCCCCAAGGGGGTGACTCGTCATGCACATGGGGCCACCATCCCGCAGCCCCAGGAGCAGCCCGGGCAGGGAGCCAGTCATCCCAGTGCCCTGAGAGCACGGCATGAGCTGGCTCTGGACCATGGTGGAGCTGAGCCTGGCAGCTCATAGAGAAAACTGTCCCCATCCCTGTCCCCGAGTTTGCTCAGAACCCCGGCAGGCTCAGCCAGGGAGGAGAGCCCGAGCCCGGGGTGATGGCCCCTCTCCCTCTGCCTCCAGGTGATCAAGGAGTCCAAGCAGGAGCACAAGGAGGTGGCGTAGGGCGGGCAAGCTGCAGCAGCCGCATGCTTGTAGCC